CCCCGCAGAGCTTCCGAACCTCGCCCCCTCCTCCGGCAGGGACTGACTCACCCGGGGATTTCCACCCCCTCCCCAAACTCTCTTCTGGTCAGATGCTCCAGACGCCGCGCGCTGAGCCCACAGTCTCCCCTGTGGCTGAGGTTGGTAACCCCCTCTGCCCCCATGTCCTCTGGGAACACTGAGGCAGGGCGCCTGGCGGGACGGAGAGGAGCCCCCAGCCCACTTGGAGATGTGGAGATACCGCGCTTGCTCGTGTGTGGGGCCAAAGAGAAAGGAGGTGCGGCCCCAGCAGCCCGGAGTGTGGATACCGTGCATTCCACCGCCAGATAAGGAGGCTGAGACTGTGGCCCGAGGGCGGGGGCGGGTCCTGTCGCCGTTGTCCGGGCCTCTGGGCTTCTTCGCCTCGTAAGGAGGACTGCCCTCAGAGGACTGCCTGCCGACCCCGGGCGTCTCCGGCCTCCTTTGCTGCTTGGGGCAGGAGCCTCCACCCTCTCTGGCCCTCTGGGGCCTCATTGGTTTTTCATTGATTGGTTGGTTGATTGGTCTATCCATCCATCCATCCATCCATCCGTCCATCCATCATCCGTGCTCCATGTTTTCTGAGCACTTGGGCCTGCACACGGACTTGGTTGCCGACACATTCTACGGTGGAAGCCAGACAGCAAAGTAGAAATCATACTTTTCAAACTTGTTAAAGGGCTGCGAAGGTAGCAAAGCAAGATGCTCTGAGGGGATAGTGGCTGTAACAGACCAGGGGATCGGAGCAAGTGACCTTAAAACAAATTTTGGAAGATGAGGAGACCCGGGGAACAAAGACTACTCACGGATTTGGGGGAAGGGCGCGTCAGGTGGGGGAACAGCCGGGGCCAAGGCGAGGAGGTAGGGTTGGCCTGTAGGAGGCCAGTGTGGTTCCATGGCTCTGGGGGAGAGTGGGAGGAAGCTAAGGGCAGAGGCCCAGGTCCTTTGGGGCTAGTGGGGAGCCACGGAAGAATTTGGAGTGACGTATTGGAGCGCCCTTGGCGGCCGTATGGAGAATGGCAGTGCAGGGGGGCCTTGACAGCTGAAGAGAAACCAAATGAAAGGGCTTGTGGGGGGGGGGCGCTGCCCTAGGCAAGAGGCATGGGATCAGTGAGTGACCACTGGGAACTGAACCACAGGGCCTGCCTCAGTGGAACTTGGGGAAGGGGCTCCTGGAAGCCCTGAGCTTCCTCCTGCCTCCCTCCCTCCTAATCACGCGCCCCTCTCCATCCCCCCCCAGTCTGTCTGTGTCTCCTTCCCTGCCCTGTCTCTTGTTCCCACTCGTCCTTCTTGCTCCATGTCAGGCCTGGACATTCCCTGATTCCGAGCCCAGTGACCTCTTACGGAGCCTCTGGGAGGGAGTCAGGGCGGCCTCGGCAAAGGTGAGCCGGAGTCAGGCCCGGTGTGTGGCCAGGCCTGGGAGCCGACACAGGGAGGAGCAGCAAGCAAGGCATGCATCTGCTGGCCCCAACCTGGAAAGCATCTACTTACCTTAATACTTAGCACAGCTCTAGTTGGGAAGATGAAGTAGTGTGGGCCTCAGTTTCCCCTTCTCTTACGAGGAGAGCCATCCCTCCTGAGGATGCCTACAAGCCTCCGGGGCTGCAGAAAATGAGCGTGCGGTGCCCTGGTCTTGTTTTCCAGGGAAAAGATAGACTTTTTGGTCAGTTCCTAGGATTCAAGGGCTGAATCCATTTCTTTTTTATTTATTATCCTATTTATTATCCATATTTTTATTGATTTCAGAGAGGAAGGGAGAGAGATAGAAACATCAATGATGAGAGAGAATCATTGATCAGCTGCCTCCTGCATGCCCCCAACTGGGGATGGAGCTCGCAACCCAGACATGTGCCTTTGGCTGGAATTGAACCTGGGACTCTTTAATCCCCAGGCCTGTACTCTATCCACTGAGCCTAACAGGCTAGGGCTGAACCCATGTCTTATTTCGCCAGGAAGTGGCCGTAAATCTTTCTCTTGGCTGCCTGACTGGGGAGAAGGGGGTGGCCCCACTTCAGGGAAGGAGGGGGGCAGCCACAGGACATGCCCCTCGCTTCAGGCCCCATTAGCAAGAGTGCTTCCCAGGCCAGGGATGGGTTTTTGATTCTCAATTTTAAACTCCAGGAGGGTCCCAGTAGGCCAGGGCGGCCTGGGGATGTCTGGTGAGGATGACCTGGCGGTCAGACTGCAGTTCAAACTCTCCCCAGGGACGTTCACACAGTTTTCATTCTCCTCGGGAAGAAGCGAGTTCCAGCCTTCCAGAAAGAACCCATTCTGTGGTGGTAGCTGCTGAGCGCTTCCAAACCTGGCCAATCAGATGCCAAAGATGGAAAGCTCAGGCCAATGAGCGAATAGCTCAACACCTTGGGATTGAAAATAAGCCAATCAGGGGGCAGGCTGTGTCTGGCCCGACAGTGGGTCTGGTAGGGCCTAAGCCTGCTTCTGGCCCTCTGCGGCGGGCAGAGGGCATCGGGGCGCCAGAGGCTCTGTCCTGCCCAGGAACAAGGGGCCTCTGTGTGGTGATCTGGGCAGGGCAGCGGCCCCGGGGATGCACACAAGCCCTTCTCTGTTCCCAAACTGGGACGGATGTCCCTTCGCCCAGAGGGAGCAGCTGCTTCTCTGTCAGGCCAAGGTCCGGGCCACCTCCCCAAGGGGGCACCGGTGACGGTGACAGCGATAGCCGCGCGGCCCCGGAAGTCCCCCATCACTCCCCGGCTCGCTCAGAACCGGCCCAACCAGCCTTTTCTGGAAGGCGGCTCCTGACGCACATGTGGTCCCTGCCAGGCCTTGGCAGACATGTGTCCAGGGATCTGGGGAGGGCTCTTCCTGTGCCCCATCCCCCAACCCCATTTAGCAGGCAGTTCCCCTCCTGAAAGGCAGACTGCACCGCTTTGCTCTGCTTCTCAGAGACCCCTCCCTCCCAAGCTGGAGGGCGGCCATGGTGTCGGCCTTGCATCCTCTCTGCACCTCTTCCCGCCCCCTCCCCCACAGATTGGTTTTCCTTGCGAGGGGGTGACTCAGGCTTGCATGGAAACAAATCCCGTCCCCCCTCCCCTCCCCGCGTGTCCGCACGCCCCCTCACCTCTCACATGACTTCAGCGCAGCTGCCCCATCCTCCCAGCCAGGACCTCCCAGGCTGGTCTCGGGTGTCTCCCCAAGCCCACCGCCCCCTCCCAGCCTTCCCCACAGCGGATGTGACTGGGGAACCAGGACTCCACCCTGTTTGTTCCAGGGGCCTCACATCTGGATTTCATCCTGCCTGGGAGGGGGTGCCAGCGCCCTGCCTCTCCCTCTGGACCCTCTGTCCCAGGGCAGGGCTAGATGGTGCTGATGAGAACAGGCTGTCCGGAATCTTGCTTGGCTGGCTCAGGCAGCATCCCCTCCCAAGAGATTGGGTGGAGGGCATCCCAAGCATAGTGTGGCAGGAAGAAGGGAGCTAATCGTGCTTATTCCGGGAAAGGCTGCCTCGTGCAGCGTTCGACAGGATTTTAAAAATATATATATTCTATTGATTTTTTTTTTTTTTACAGAGAGGAAGGGAGAGGGATAGAGAGCTAGAAACATCATGAGAGAGAAACATCGACCAGCTGCCTCCTGCACATCCCCTACCAGGGATGTGCCCGCAACCAAGGCACATACCCTTGCTGGGAATCGAACCTGGGACCTTTCAGTCTGCAGGCCGACTCTCTATCCACTGAGCCAAACCGGTTTCGGCTCAGCAGGGTTTTCCTGTCACCCTGTGAAGTGGGCTTTCTTCTCCGCGGTGCACAGATGAGGGTGTTGAGGCTGCGTGCCGATTGACTTGCCCAAGACCCCACAGCATGTCAGAGGGGGTGTGGCGTTGACACTAGATTGTCTCCCAGGCCTGTGTCCTCTGGGATGACATGACCTCTGGGGATGCTGGAACCTCAGGTCCAACCTGGTTTACCTCAAGACCTTATTTTGGGAGCACCCGTAGCCTCAAGGCTTACGCCCAGCCTGAAACCGAGGGCAGTGGGTGGTAATGAGCAGGGCATGGTGCTGTCAGCACCACGCATCTCTCTGACCCAGGTTAGCAGTGGCACGAGGCCCAAGGCTCCAGTGTATTTGAGAAAAGGGGCAAGCCCTCCAGTTCCTGCCCACAGCTCCACCTCTGGGTAGGCGAGCAAGGCTTCTGGAAGGAAGTCCACTTGGTGTTTTTCATGCCGTTTGGGGGAGCTTCTGCGAGACAGTGTAGCCTAGAGCAGTGGTCGGCAAACCATGGCTTTTTGGCCCCACCTCGAGTGTGGCTCTTCCACAAAGTACCACGGCCTGGGCGAGTCTATTTTGAAGAAGTGGCGTTAGGAGAAGTTTAAGTTTTATTTATGTATGTATTTATTTATTTACTTATTTTTAAAAATATATTTTATTGATATTTTACAGAGAGGAAGGGAGAGAGAGATAGAGAGCTAGAAACGTCGATGAGAGAGAAACATCAACCAGCTGCCTCTTGCACACCCCCCACCGGGGATGTGCCCGCAACCAAGGTACGTGGCCTTAACCGGAATCGAACCTGGGACCTTTCAGTCCGCAGACCGATGCTCTGCCACTGAGCCAAACCGGTTTCGGCAAGAAGTTTAAGTTTTAAAAATGTGGCTCTCAAAAGAAATTTCAATTGTTGTAACTGTTGATACCTGGCTCTGGTGACTAGTGAGTTTGCCGACTGCTGGCCTTAGAGGCTATTGAAGCTTTGGAGCCGGTCTCTCTGGCTCTGCCACTTACTGACTTTGAGACTTTGGCAAAGTGAGTTGACTCCTCTGGGTCTCCCATCTGTGAAGCAGGGATCGTGATCATTTTTGACTTCGTGCTGGCCCCTCAGTGAGGCGTGCTAGCCCTGGGACTCAACCCCGAGACGTCCAGGGTCAGAGCCCAGGCAGCGTCCACAGCCCCCTGACCTGTCTTATCTGTGTCCCTTCTCCCTGCAGCTCTGACAGCTCCATGGCCTCGGCTGGCCACTGAGCCCCACCATGGGCAGCCTGTACTCAGAGTACCTGAACCCCGACAAGGTCCTGGAGCACTATAACTACACCAAGGAGACTCTGGACGTCCCGCAGACGCTCTCCCGCCAGGTGGCCTTGGTCCTCATCATCATCCTGTGCTGTGCCATCGTGGTGGAGAACGTGCTGGTGCTGGTCGCCGTCGCCCGCAACAGCAAGTTCCACTCGGCCATGTACCTGTTCCTGGGCAACCTGGCAGCCTCGGACCTGCTGGCGGGCGTGGCCTTCATAGCCAACACCTTGCTCTCGGGCTCCGTCACCCTGCACCTGACACCCGTGCAGTGGTTTGCCCGCGAGGGCTCGGCTTTCATCACGCTCTCCGCCTCCGTCTTCAGCCTCCTGGCCATCGCCATCGAGCGCCATGTGGCCATTGCCAAGGTCAAGGTCTACGGCAGCGACAAGAGCTGCCGCATGCTGCTGCTTATCGGGGCCTCCTGGCTCATCTCGCTGGTTCTCGGTGGCCTGCCCATCCTCGGCTGGAACTGCCTGGGTCACCTCGAGAGCTGCTCCACCGTTTTGCCGCTCTACACCAAAGACTACGTGCTCTGTGTGGTGACCATCTTCTCTGTCATCCTGTCGGCCATCGTAGTTCTGTACGTCCGCATCTACTGCGTGGTCCGCTCCAGCCAGGCCGAGGTGGCTGGCACGCAGACGCTGGCCCTTCTCAAGACAGTCACCATCGTGCTGGGGGTCTTCATTGTTTGCTGGCTGCCTGCCTTCAGCATTCTCCTCCTGGACTACGCCTGCCCCGTGCGCGCCTGCCCTATCCTCTACAAGGCCCACTACTTTTTTGCTTTCGCCACCCTCAACTCGCTGCTCAACCCCGTCATCTACACGTGGCGGAGCCGGGACCTGCGGCAGGAGGTGCTGCGGCCCCTGCAGTGCTGCCAGAAGGTGGCGGGGGGGCGAGGACAGCAGGATGGGACCCCCCATCACCGCCTCCTGCCCCTCCGAAGCTCGAGCTCGCTAGAGAGGGGCACCCACATGCCCTCGTCGCCTACGATTCTGGAGGGCAACACCGTGGTGTGAGGGGCACGTGGGCTGACAGCCAGGCCATGGCAGAGGGCTCCGTGGAGAGGTGCCACGTGACCTCAGACAGAGGTGGGGCTGCCTAGCAAGGTGGCCCACGCCCCAGCCCTGGGTGATATTGAAAATATCTCATACCCGGGAAGGCCAGCAGAGGCCCTGACCTGCGGAAGGAAGAGCCGCGGCAGAGTCCTGGAGGCCAGGGCGGTGGCTGGTGTGACCCCTCAGAACTGGCTCGGGGGACGTCTGGGGTTCCCTGCAAAGGGCCTGGGTGACAGCAGACAGGCACTCAAGGGGAACTCAGGGCAGGAGCAATTGACAACTCGGTACAAAGGATTTCGTTTCACGACCTCTCCTCCGCCTTGCCACATTCTGGCAACCTCAGGCCCTTTCCCTGGAACCAGTGCCCCCGGGGCTGGAGGCCTCCTCCCTTACTCTCTGGGCAGCCCTGGCTAATAGTTCCCCAAGCCCAAGTCTACAGCTTCCCCAAATGTCAGCTGGTACTTGGCCACTTCTTCCCTTTCCTCTTACTCCACGAGGTGCCAGGAAACCACGGATTCAGGGGGAGGGAGGGCCGGGCGCTGAACCCCATTCTCAGACCTCATTGGCCAGTTGTACTATTTGGGGCACAGGGAAATCACCAAGGGCCGGAAAAACCTGCCTGGGGAGCGGAGGAGGGCTCAGCGTGGAACTTGAGAAAGTTCTGGGGAAGCTGTTCGCCCAGGACCCTTCCACCTCCTTCTCAAAACAACCACCCCCCCGGGCTACTCACACCTCCGGCCCCAGCTGAGGTCCCAGCTCTCCTAAGGCAGGGCGGCTGGAGTCCACGGGGCCTCCTTTCCAGCTGTAGCCACTGGAGCAGGGAGCGGGGGTGCTGAGGACACTTGTGGGGGCTCTCCCCGAACCTGCTCCAGGAGGACTCTGCTAAATCCTGTGGATAGGTAGGAGGGTCCTTGCGGTACAAACATATTTATGTGTCTCTCGGTGTCTGTGCGTGTCCTTGTGTGTGCGTGTGCGATGTCTGCAACCTGTGCCCATGTGTCCCCAGGATGAATGCCATTCCGTCTCCTCGTGTCTGTGTTGAAGCTGCCAAAGAGGGGTCCGGCCCCACACTCAGACGCCTCCGTAATCGCCGGCTCATCCCCCCACTTGAGAGCTGGGCTGCAGCTCACCTGGGGAAGGAAACCTCATGCCTCAAAGTGACTTCTTGTGAATGCACAGGCTGGGAGGGTCTTTTGGGGGGCAAGGAGCCAGATGGGGGCTTGCCTCCTCTTATTCAGCTCCCCAGATGCCCCCACGCCCCCATTGTCTGAGACCAGGCCCAGGCCAATAAACGGTTCAATTTCTCTTTCTGATGCCTGTTTGTCTTTTCAGGTTTACGGTGGTAGGTCCCCCATTATCGCTCCGTGGCTGGGGGTGGATGGGATGGGGGAGGGTGGCTGCTGCCCAGGCAACCCACCGCCCTTTGCCAGTCTTCCCATTGTGTGTCCCACACCAAGGGCCGCAGTGGCTGCTGAGAAAACAGGGTCAGCGCTGGCATCTCCCCAGGACAGTTGTCCAGGGCCTTCCTCTTTTCCTTAAAGAAGGGTGTGGTGGCTGGTGGGGACCCCTTTGTCCAACCCAAGTACATGTCTCTCCCTGGGAGCTGGAGAGATTATCTTGGGGCCCAGGGGCCCACAGGGTCCTCCAGAGAGCAGTATTCCCCAGAGAAATGGCTGACAAAGCACGTTCCAGGCGCGTTGCCGTGACTCCCCAGCAGGACTCCTTTTATGGGGCCGTGGGTCTAGAGAAGTGATGTGATCCGCAGGGCCACACAGCCCGTTGGAGCAGCACCTGTCCGGATTCGAACTCTGGGCGGCTGACTTGAGATCCTGCCAGCTCTAAGCCTGGGCCAGGGAAAGGATCCCCGCTTTGCCATGCATGGGACCAGCAGAAGCCCAGATGGAACACAGCCGGAGGGTGGGTGCCTCGCTCAGCTCCAGGGTGACACCCCCACTCCTTTGCCCAGAGGCTCAGGGCTCAGTGGCTCCTCTGAAGAGGAGCTGCACTCTGTTGGGGAACACAGAGCCCAAGCTGAAGCCTCGCCCAGCAACGCCAGCACAAATACTAGGGCGGTCAGCGAGGGAGAAGTGAGGCAGGCGGCAGGCAGAGGCCAAAAAGCCTGCACCCCCATGGGGATTCCCCTCCCACCAGTAGTGCAGAGACAGTCTCTGCAAACCCGAGGCCTTAGAGTTTGGAGGGAAGAGGCAATGGCCAGGCAAGAATCAATACATTTCCCCAGATACATGCTTCCACCGCCTCCTCCTTCAGGCCTGCCCTATCCATTTCCCTTCCCATCTAGCCCATCACCCGGCAGTGTTTTATATAACAATTTACCCCCACCCCCATTAAAATATGAGAACCTGGATGTAAGGATTGTATCTGTCTTCTTCACCACTGTGTCTAGCATATTAAGCAGCACTTAGCTCTCCACCACAGGCCCTTTGCACCTGCTGTTCCCTCTGTCTGGAATGATTATCCCCCAGGCATCCTTGGGATTCTTCTCTCCTTCAAAACTATATTCAAATATCCTGGGTGAGGCCTCTAGCCTCGCCATACATGAGTTTCTTTTTTAAAAAAAATATATTTTTATTGATTTCAGGGTGGAAGGGAGACGGGGAGAGAGAGAAACATCAATGATGAGAGAGAATCATTGATTGGCTCCCTCCTGCACATCCCCTACTGGGGATTGAGTCTGAAACCCTGGTATGTGCCCTTGAACAGAATCGAAGCCAGGACCCTTCAGTCTGCAGGCCAAACCAGCCAGGGCTAGTTTCTTTTCTTATCTGCCTCTCTTGCTACTCTTTTAACATGGAACACACTTTGCTTCATCCTGTTTATTTTTTATCTCCCCTTTAGAATGCTAGTTCTATGACAGCAGGGGTTGGTGTCTGTCTTCACTGTTTGGTCCCAGAACAGTGACTAGCACACAGTAGGTTCTCAATCAATGTTTGTGAAAGAAATGAAAGCAAAAGCAAATGATGTTTCAGTAAGTGGCACTCCCATCAGCACTGTAACAGGTTAAGGAAACTGAGGCACAGAGAGAGCGAGTGAACTGCCCACGCTCATGTAGCATGCGAGTGGGAGTGTCGGGATTTGAACCCAGGCAGTCCTTGATTTAAAATGGCAATCACATCTGATCCTCCTCAGTATCCTGAAGATCCACGTTACTGATCTCTCAAATCTTGGAGCCTAGAATGGGAGGGACCAACCTAGAGGGAGGCAAGGTGACTTTCACCTTCTTTCCTCCTAATGCCTGTTGGATATTAGGAAGCTTCAGAATCATCTGGAAGAACCTGTTAACATGCAAATTCTTAGGCGTTGCAGTGACAGATTCTGATTTGAATAGGTCTGAAGTGACCCCAGCAATGCCTGTTTTTCACCAAACACCTTTAGGCATCTTTTTGGGACCATAGTTTAAGAAGGTTTCAGATTCCATAATCTCAATAGAATTTCTTTTTTTTAAAATATATATTTTATTGATTTTTTTTACAGAGAGGAAGGGAGAAAGGTAGAGAACTAGAAACAGTGATCAGCTGCCTCCTGCACACCCCCTACTGGGGATGTGCCCGCAACCAAGGTACATGCCATTAACTGGTATCGAACCTGGGACTGTTCAGTCCACAGGCTGATGCTCTATCCACTGAGCCAAACCGGTTTTGGCTCAATAGAACTTCTTGCATTGATGGAACTATGCCATATTAGCCCTGCCCACTTGTGAGCTATTTAGCACTTGAAGTTTGGCTAGTGTGATGCAGGGACTAAATTTTAACTCTAATTTAAAAGTAAATGACCATGATTGCCATTAGCAGTTCTACCGGGTGCACCTCTGGTCTCTGCAGCCTCTGGGCAGCTGACCTCTCTTGGCATTATACCACCAATTCAACAAAAATCCTCAAATCTCACTATATCGTTGTTATGAATGACATGGTCGCTTCCACATGTCACACCATAATTTTGGAATTTTTTTTTTACCAAATACATTTTATTGATTTTTCACAGAGAGGAAGGGAGAGGGATAGAGAGCTAGAAACGTCGATGAGAGAGAAACATTGACCAGCTGCCTCTTGCACACACACCCCCCTTCCACTGGGGATGTGCCCGCAACCAATGTACATGCCCTTGACCGGAATCGAACCTGGGACCCTTCAGTCCGCAGACCGACGCTCTACCACTGAGCCAAACCGGTTTCGGCTGGAATTTTTTTTAAAATAATGATAGCAAGGTTAAGCTCAGTGCCTGGCTGGCATGGCTCACTGGTTGTAGCTTGACCTATGAACCAGAAGGTCACGGTTCGATTCCTGGCCAGGGCACATGCCCGGGTTGCAGGTTCGATCTCTAGTGTGGGGCGTGCAGGAGGCAGCCAATCAATCAATTCTTTCTCATCATTTATATTTCTATCTCTCCCAATCCCTCTCTAAAAAAAAAAAATACATTTTAAAAATATAATAATTTGCCAGGACCGGTTTGGCTCAATGGATAGAGCGTCGGCTTGGGGACTGAAGGGTCCCAGGTTCGATTCCGGTCAAGGGCATGTACCTTGGTTGCGGGCACATCCCCAGTAGGGGGTGTGCAAGAGGCAGCTGGTCGATGACTCTCTCTCATCGATGTTTCTAACTCTCTATCTCTCTCCCTTCCTCTCTGTATAAAATCAATAAAATATATTTTTTTAAAAATATAATAATTTAAAGAAAGATCAGGCTTAGCTGCAAATAGAAAAGAAACTATTAGTAATTGAAGAAAGAGAAATGCGTGCCTGATGCCTGGCTAGAAACTTCATCCACGTTCATCAAATAAATGGACTCTCAGGCTTGCGGGAAGTGAGGGGAAAGAAATGGATTTCTCATATAAAAGCGTTCCAGAGGAAATTGGTCTGGGTAAGGAGGACAGATGTCTACTTCTTAGCATCCAAGCTCCCATCTGTCTGCCTGTCTGCCTGTCCCCCGGTCCACCCACCCATCTAC